ACATTGTAAAATCAATAATACTTAAAAAAAAACCCTTTTTAATTTACATTGGGCCGTATTAAGTAATTTAACTTGGGGGGAAGGTCACTGGGGGCCCATTTAGCAATATAATTTGAAAGTAGCAAAGACTGAAATTTCATTTATAATTCACTGGATCAGACCTTCTCTGCTCAGTGTGGGATATTTTAGGACAGTGGGTGATACGACCATAAAGAATCTAGGAAAGACCACAGTTCTCAGGGTTAAGGCAAAACACACCTATTTGTCTTCTATATGGTATTTAGCAATTCCCCTAAGATTATCTTGGGTTCCTTGCTTCAGTTTAGTGGGATCCCAATACGACTGTAATTTGAGACCTAGTATTGATTATCTGCATGAAGGTTTGTGGGTCAGTGCATTATAGTAGATGACAAAATTAATCCAGAAACTATGTTGCAGAGGCTAAAACAGCACCCCTGTATCTTTTCATTGTGTAAATTCTTCTGGTATATTCTGAATTTCCAATTGGGTCAAATTGTGGGCCTTTTCATTTGTCCTCTCCCTCCTGTCCTTTCCTGTTTTGTTTTTTCTGTCACTGGATATACTTCAGGCATGGAGGTATCCACTGGTATTTACAAGCTGTACTTCCAGAGAGCTTCAAATCAGTGCTGTCAGGGTGAGAGGCCCCCTCCGTGACATCTGGCTCCTTTATAAAGTATGAAGAACCTGAGCTTAAGTCAGGTCTGAAGTAATCCCTTGGCTCTGCCACAGGGGTGCCAAGGCATTGTCCCCTGTAACCTCGAAGGTCAGGATCTTTGTTGCAATAAAGATAGCAGCAGCAGAAACCTTTAAGGGCCCCAGGGAGCTCTGGAATTAGGGGTGGGGACTCAGCTGCCATCTGATGACTGCCTTTTCCCCTCTCTCTTCTCCTTTAAAGTAACTGATGTGTGAGGAACTAGCACCCAACTGGCCCAGCTCCTGCACGGGCTGCGGCCTGCCTCTCCTGTGTGCGCTGATGCTGAGTCCAATCCAGGCATCATCACAGTTTCTAACACACAGATGAATCCCAGCAAACGCATGGACCCAGGACTAACTTAAGGGGAGCTCCAACCTCATATTGCTGCTCCCAAATGCCTAAGAGTTCTTAAAACTGACAATTCTGGCCAGCTGAACATAGAACTGAGGCCTGGTAGGTAAACAGTGCAACACAGGCCAGCAGAGCTCACAACTCGAGCTCCCCAGCACCCAGCAGCCCGCAGTGCCAGCACCCATCAGAGAGGTGAGCTAGTCAGAGCCAGAGGACAGACCCGTGGGTGGTGGTCATGTCTGGACACGCTGCTCACGGTGCCAGCTGCTCTGGGCATCTGCAGGGGGTGGCTGAGGCTGCTGCCCATGCAGCACAGACACCCACTGAGAGGGGAGGACAAGGGCTGTGACTCAGACGTCTCAGGGATCAGCAGAGCCGGCCTCTCAAGCAGCTCTGAAATGGCTTCAGAATCTAGAAAGGGAGCCTGCCCTGGGTGCTCACGGTGGCTGGGGGCTGGGACTGAGGCAAAAATTCTTGTCTAAGGGCAGGGGCTTGTATGGCTGGTTTGTGTTGCCATCTGTGGAGCAGAGAAGGCCCAGACTTCTCAGCTTGTCCAGGTGGAGGCACAAGGGGAAGAGGGAGGTGAAAAAGAAACAATAGGCCCCAGATGGAGTCATGGCGTGTAGGCCCATGTCACCAAACCAAGACTTAACACCTGACCTAACTGCAGTTACAGCCTCCTCCAGAAATGTAATCTTAACCAGCCGTGAAGTTTCTGGTCCGCACCAGTGAGTAATCGGCCACAAGGGGTTTTTCTACCCCTCAAAGGAAGAGGAGACAGTCCACTCTTTCCTTATCCCTTCCCCCGCCTGCTGGGGAAGCAGGCGCTCCATTCATACAGCTCTCTACTTGCTAGATGCGATGCTGTCCGACTCACCAATCAATAAAGCCAATTAGCCCTTTAAAATGTATTTGGTTGAATTTTGCTTATTTAACAGATTGGGAGGCTTACACTGTGAGCAAACATCAAAAAAATGTGCAGTGTGAGTACTCATTACAAGGACAAAGGGGGGAAAGAAAAATACACATTTGCTTCTTTTACGATAAACACTAAAATCAAAATGCTCAAGAAATGATGAACACTGGTTATCTGGGGGTGGCTGAAGCAAGAGCACTTGAGGGACAAGGATGTCCTGGAGTGAGTCTACTTTAGATTTACAGATCTTCTCTTAACAGATTTTTGCTAATTTGTGCGTGTATTATTTAAAATTAACTGAGTAATTTGCATAAACCATATTTTTCTATTTAATAGTCTTTATTTTTAATTAACTTACTTTTGCTTTTAAATTTTTAATTTTAAATTTATTTTTTACTTTTACAGAGGAAACCATTCTAAGATTTACTCCTTTAAACACTAATACTTATAAAAGTTTAAGCCATAAAAAAATGAAAAGTTTCAAATCTCTTTCTAACTAAAATAACAAGAGAGGCATTATAGTTTCCCCTTATAGCTCGCTCTGGGGGTTATTTCAGAAATATAACATTAAGGAGAAGGTGACTTGTAAACTAGGTTCCTGCTTCTCCATTCTTTGGCCATTGAATAAGGCTGCTTCAGTCTCAAAGAAAAAAGAAGAAAAAAGAAAAAGAGATGTAAGTAACATAGAATGCAGTAGGAATTTGGGTCTAATCCATTAAATGTACTAGAATTTTCAATAATTTATGTAAGTTTTGAATAGTTTTCCTTTTATCAATTAAAGTAATTCATTTGCTTCAGCAATATTATAGCACTTAAAATTTCAAAGCTCTGTAAGAACATGCACATACAAAAATTAACCTACAAAGGTAAAAGCCACCTGAGAACTCAAATACATCCATCTCGTATCTTGAGGCTCTCCTTGCCAAAAAGGAACAAATAGTCTGCTTCCAGAATTTCTTGCTTTACTCTCAATCAACATACATTTAAACCCTGAAAACTATCAGTTTTATATACTCACACAGGAAATAATATCACATACTATTATGGAAAAATAGAGTTAAGAGCTGCAATATTAAATATATAAACATATACAAGGAAAGAAATGCAAATACTTGAATCAGTGAGACAAGCAGCCTGCTTCCCCACAGTCCAGAGGAAAACCCACCTTCCCAGACTTGAGGTCCAGATGCCCCTGTGAGGATACAACCCCTGGAGCGGGCCAGTCCCTGGTGATGGTGGGTAGGGACACCTGAGCAGCCACAGAAACGAACTCTGGAGGTTCAAACATAATGCAAGTACTCCTTCTCTAAGGCTTCGATTCTTACAAGTGAGAAAACCCCCAGCCAGACTCAATTTAAAGTTCTAACTTAAATGTACTTCCAAATTCATAACCCTTGTCCAGGAGAAAGAACTCCTGACCTTCAAAGACTTTCTCAACGTACTCAGTTTACTCTGAGTGCACCTACCCTCTGGATGCAAAGCTCAAGCCCATGTCTGGAAACAGGCCCAAAGAAACCACAGTTACAGCCTCAGAAAGGGCACCACTCCCCATCCCTCACCCACCATCACAGGTGCCTCCCCAGCTTCCCAGGGCTCTGGATCTTCTTTCACTATGAAGGCTCCTTCGTGGGTGCGAACGGGGGTGGGGGTGGGGGGGAGGACAACTGCAGGGGGCGGCTCCCCAGGAAGAACAAAACAGCTGGTCCTCCGAGTACTTCCCTTTGCAGACTCCAGGGGGCCTCAGCTTAGAAATACTGACCACAGGTCTTTGCTCCCCACTGGAGTCGCCAGGACACCACACCATTGACATTTTAAATGACACAAACCTAGTGTTTGAATGATCCAGCACAACCACTCTAATCCAGTATTTATGTGTAAAGGAGGGAAGACAATTGTAAGGCATTTTTCTAGTTCAAGAAGAAAACACAAATATCTATTTCTTTCAGAAAGTGAATGTCAGTTAATTATTTCCACGGCAAGAAATTGTTTGGAAACAATCATAAATGAAGAAAAGAAAAAAACAGATCTCAAATGTTACAGTCACTTATGGGTAGAAAAAAGGAAACAAAAGTGTTAACAAATGGAATAGTATAATAGAATTTTTTTTTCTGAAATTCACCTTTCTTCCCCTTGGGAAATACTTTATACTCTTTCATGATCTATTGATGCAGTACATTTACAGTCATTGAAAAATGGAGACTTACAGTGAATAAAGTCACAAACTTAAGGAGGGGCAGGGCCAACCTGGGACTATGATGAAAATACAGATCACGTAGCAGTCTCCAAAGGGGAACCGCCACCCAAAGGACTCAAACAGGGTGTCTGTGCCCAGGAAAAGTCCTGGGGGAAAAGGCACAGGACTTCTATACAGTGTAGTTCCAGGTGGTTAATCTGATTTCCTTTCATGTAAAATATACATAGACAAAAAAAAATCTTTAAAAAGAGCCATCTATGGCTCTGTGGAGGAATGATAAACAATTAAAATACTGCGCAGTTTGACGTGCACCACGGAGGACAAACAGTTAATGATGAAGCTATGAACTGAAGAGGGGAAGATGGCGTTTGGGAATGTGGGGAAAGAGCTGGAAATTAAGGCATTTATTGTGAGCCCTGGGAAGAGCTAGGTGGGAGAACAGGCTCATGGATTTGTGACCCTGTTCCTCAAACATCTGGAAAAGTGAGGGAACAAGAAGCACACCCCCCCCCCGCCCTGGGACGAAAGGAGGGACTGACGACCCCACAGACCACAGCCCCTCCACCTCAGGTACCCCGAACACTGAGTCACGAATGTCCCCTGATAACCCTCTCCGTGGTCACCGCACAATCTGGAGCAGACACGGCCGCAGCATCGCGCAGAGAGGCCGCCCTGCGTCCCGACTGCCGGCCGAGCCCGCACAATCCGTGCCGCGCCCCTGGCGGACTCGGGTCCGTTGACCGCAGGGAGGCCCAGGTCCCACCGTGGCCAGTTCCAGCCAGTTCCTCCGCCCCGGTCTCCCAACACCTGGCCCCTCAACTCACCATTTTTCGGCTTCTCGGTCATCCACCCCACAACTGCCGCGGCAAGCGCAGGTCACAGCGACAGAAGATGCCGCGGAGCCACCGGAGGCCTCTAAGGGCACCGAGCCGATCTGCAGCGCGGACGCTGGGAGCGAGGGGAGATAAGCGCGTCCACGCCATCCACGCCCGTCATTGGAACGTCGCCCACACGTACGTAACTGGCGACTCCCCTGATTGGACAGCTTGCTAGGCCCCGCCCTTCCGTGCCTGAGTGACAGCAAGGCGGAGGGCGCGACTCCGCACCAACCTTGTCGGGGCAGTGGGCGGGAACTGTCCCCCACCACAGACACAGATTTGGAACAGAAGTCCGTGAGACCCTCAGGGAACCGCGACCCTTCTTCACAAACACGGACACTTAAAAGTGACCCCGCCATACGTTATGATGAGTCTGGCTCCACTTTGATCTCTGATTATTTCCTGTGGGAGACATCTGCCTATGCCTCCTACCCCCACTCACTTGGTACTTTAAAGTCCCGCCGCCTTACGAGGGCTGAAGCCTCAGATACTGAAACGTGTGAAACACTGAGGCAGAGAAACTACCAGAAAAACTTTCAATGTAATTCCTTTAGTATCTGTTGAAAGGTCAAAGAAAAAACTGAGTGAAAAAGAGGTGGTGAAGGTGTGAAGGGTAAGCAACCGTGGTCACGTATGGGGCAGGACGGAGGTGAGACCGACAGGAACATCAGGACCCTCTCACCGCTGCCCACAGGCGTTTATGAATCTTCACGATGATTCCGAGGATGTTTCTATTACTAAATCTTACCACGAAACATTTTGTATACTCCTTTCTGAATATATTTGCTGATAAAAATTGTAAAAAGTAATTAAGGCTGGAAAAGAACATATTTTGTATGTATTAGTTTGTCCTATAATGTGGCAATCTGAGTTTTCATTCACGGTTTTGGCAGCAAATACTCAGAAAGAATGAGTTACATAAATTCATTATCATATGTAGTTTTTAAAAACAAAGGGTACTGCTATGAAAAAAATCTGGAGGATTTACCAATAAAGCAAATAAATGTATTGCAATATACTTATCATGCTACCTTTTCTATAATCTGCAGAGACAGGTGGAACCTTGACCCCCATCCAAGGTGTGGTTGAGTAGTGGAGACATACACACACCCACCAGGAATGTATGAAAGTGTTAATTACTTCCCTAACTGAGGTCTCTGTGGAGAGGAGGGCAGCCCTCTCCAGCAGGTGGGAAAAGGCTTGAGAGCAAGGAATAGAGGCTGGCCTGGGTTTTTTAAATTGAGGTTAGCAGTGGGGCTAGGGTGGGAGTTCACAAGCACAGCCTTTCTTATCATCTTGTACAAATGTGGGGCCCAAGGGGAAGAAGCGGGGTAAAACTTTAAAGTTGTCAGCTATCAGATAATAAAAATACATACACTGGTCTCTGCCCCCTGTTCCTGGCACAGGGCTCCTAAAACCCGCATGAACTCCTAAGGGATGAGATCATAGGAGCATTTCTTGTTCTAATATTTGGTGTTTGACCTTGTCCCTGACACAGAGCTCCTGATACCCTTGTGAACTCCTAAGTGATAAGAGCACAAAGAGCACATATTTTTTTTCTTTTCTTTTTCCCCGCCCGCCCCCACATATTTTTTTTTGAAGCAACTCTGGTTGGGCTCCTGGATGGGGGCTGGTCACCAGGAAGACCAAGCCATGGTTAGGAGCGTGGAATTTTCAGCCCAATCCCTCCTCCTCCAGACAGGGGAGAGGGGCTGCAAATGGAGTTCAAAACTGATCACGCCTATGTGAGGAAGCCTCCATAAAATCCTAACACTACGGGGTAGGGAGAGCTTCAGGTTGGTCAGCACGTCCACGTACGAGGGGGGTGATGCGCCCCAACTCCACAGGGACCCTCCCCGACCTCACCCAGTGGGTCACTTCATCTGGCTGTTCACCTGCATCCTTCACCACATCCTTTAATAAACTGATGAACGTAAGTAAAGTGATTCCCTGAGTTCTCCGAGCTGATCTAGCAAATTAATCAAACCCAAGGCGGGGGTTGTGAGATCCTCTGATTTGTAGCCAAGTCAAGAGAAGTTGTGAGTAACCTGGGGACCTCCTCCTGTGACTGGCATCTGAAGTGGGGACGTGGGGGTGGGGGGATGGGCAGCCTTGCAGGGCTGAGCCCTTAACCTGTTGGATATGGTGCCACCTCCAGATAGTAGCGTCAGGATGGAGTTAAGTTGTAGGACACTCGCTGGTGTCACAAAGAATTACTTGTTGTGGGGAAAAACCCTCACACATTTGGTGACCAGCAGTGCCAGAAGTGTTCTGGGTGACAGTAAAGGAGACACACAGGAGGGAAGAACTGGGTCTTCTCTAGTCGGGGACAATACAGAGTTTTCCCAACACATCATCAGTCAAACATTTAAAAATGGAGTCAGAGACCTCTGGTTTCCAGTCTGGCAGATAAGGAGCTTAGACGGTAACAGTCCCATCCTCAACAATAAAAAGAAAACAAACTTAAAATCAGTGACTCTTCTTAGATCTATCAAAGAACTGAGGTCACAGGGCAAACCACTGTCTCCAAAATTGGAAACTGACAGAAGAGTAGCCATTTTGAAACATGCCCACAATATTCTGCTCTTAACAAGTCCTGTCCTCAAAAGACTCTTCCATTAGAGGCTAACCAGCTGGAATTTTACCAGCGCCTGCGTGACACGGCGGGAGGGAAGCAGCCAGCTTGAGTCCCTTCTGGTCCTTCTGCCCGACCTCACAGCAAATACGCGGTATGCTTTCCAAAACCATCCCAACTCTCCACCACCACCTGAGTGTCCTGCAGTTCAGTTCAGTTCTAACACAAACTGGCCAGAGTTAACACCAGACTCCGCAGCTTAAAGTTCAGTCCTTCCAGACTGCCCCCATGCCCAGCGCAGCTGCAAATGTGGGGCGGGGCCGGCTGCGCACATTTCTGCATGGCTCGCGACAAATTCCGAGGTTCCCTGCACAACACCTCATGTTTGTTAATTGGCTGGAACAACTATCAGAATTAAGGAAAGTACTTTATTATTACCGGTTTATTGTAAAAGACACGAGTCAGGGACAGCCAAATGGAAAGTGTGCACAGGGCGAAGCTGGGGGCGGGGAGCAGTGTCTCCCAGCACACTGGCAGGGTTACCAGGTCAGATCCTTCTGACTCCCAAGGTTTTGGGGTTTCAGTGGAGTTTCCTTAGGTAGGCCTGACTGATTAAACCTTTGACCACTGGTGAATAACTCAGTCTCCCGCCCCTTTCCCCTCCCCAGAGGCTGGGAACTGGGCTGGAAGTTCTATACCTCTAATCAAAGCTTGGTCTTCCTGGCGACCAGCCCCCATCCTGAAGCCCTCTAGGGGCCTTGAGCAGTTGCCTCATCAGAACATAAGATGCTCCCATCCCCCTTATCGCTCGGAAAGCCCAAGGGCTTTAGGAAGTCTTTGCTGAGAACCATGGACAAAGACCAGACGTTTTTCTTATTATACCACAGAAGGTCACAGCTCAGGGACACCGGCTCACTGAAATACTGAGACCCAATCATGGGACGAAAGAACATTTCCTCCACCCTCAACGTAACAGTGCACCAAGGAGACTCATGTTTAATGACAGTGTGAAACACTGGAAAAGCTGTATGTCTCAGAACTTATTTATATGTCTCGAAAGTACCCCAGAGGTGACGTGGGAGACAAAAGCAAGGACACCTGGAGATATCTTACCTCTGACAGCCACAGCAAATAGTCCGCATAGCCCAAATGCTAGTCAGGTCAACATGAAACCTCAGGCTAAAGGCCTGTTTACCTCAGTTCCTTTTCACAGTACATCATGTCCAGTATGCAGTAAAATATTCAAAGGCACAATAAAAGGCTTAAAAAACCACATCTTTAGGAGATAGGATATGGAAAGGAAACTGATTCAGACGTAGCAGGTATGTTGGAATTATAAGACCAGATCTGAAGGAACCCGGACCAACACGCTAAGGGCCCGCTGGCCACTACATATTCAGTCACTCCAGCTTATGGATAACTGCAGTGAACGGCAGCAGTGTTACAGGGGCGGGGGCAGGAACTGGAACCCTCTGTTCTGAGGAACCTGCACACCCACTGAAGTGATGACAGACTGTTTCTTCAGAGAGGACGAGGTGAGTTGTCCATGTATGTTGCAAACTCATGGGCAACTACTGAAAAGTGTGTAATAAGCTAAAAGAGAACTAATGGAATCACCTAAAATGCTCAATAAAAGGTAGAGAAGGCAGAAGAAAGGTGGAAAAGGATTAAAAAGAACAAAGAACAAAGGTAACAAACAGAAAAGAGCAGCAATGTGCTAGATGTTAAGCCACTATATCAATAATCACTTTAAACAATGGTCTACATACAGCACATGAAAGACAGCAACTGGCAAATGGGTAACAAAATAACGATGGTGTGTTGTCTACAACAATCAGTTTAGATACAAAGACACAGATAAATGAAAAGTAAAGGATGGTGAAAGATATACCAAGACAACACCAAACAAAAGAAAGCTGGTACAGCTGTATTAATTTCAGATAAAGCTGACTTCACAGCAAGGAAAACCCACACCGATAAAGAGGAACACTACATAATGACGAAAGTGTCAATTTTCCAAGAAGACATGGCAATACTTAGCGTCTACATGCATAACAACACACAGGCAAAATACACAAGGGAAAAAATACTAGAACTGCATGGAGAAACAGATGAATCCACCCTGACAGCTGGAGACTTCCACCTCTGCCCTCACCAGCAGGCAGAAAGTCAGGAAGCACACAGTGAAATGAAACAGCACCATCAAGCAAGTGCATTTAATTGAAATCCATGCACTACTTTATCCAGACACAGCAGAACACACATTCTTCCCCAGGTCACATGGAACACTCACCAAGACAGACCACATTCTGGAATGTGAAATTCACCTTACATTTGAAAAAAGAGCGATCTTATAAGATATGCTCACAGACCACAATGGTATTAATATTTAGAAATCAGTAACAGAGAGTTGGAAAATGCCCAAGTACTTGGAGATTAAATAACACCCTTTTAAATCACACGTGGGTCAGTAAGGGAGTGACGTCAGCAAGACGGCATAATAGCAATTTTCTACTGTCATCTCCCCACAGTGCACCGATTCCGACAATCAGCCAAGGAAGAAAGTGCCTCTGAAGTCAGGGAGCCCAGTGGAGAAGTCTGAGCACACCACGGGGCAGAAAATCCAGGAACAGACACAAGAAGGGGAAGAAGAGTTTCACTCCTCGCAAAGGTGGCGGAGCTCAAGCCCACGAGCTCCCCTGGGGCCCGGGATTCCTCCCCTGGGGAAAGGGAGAGCGTGGTGAGTGAGCACCTGGCTTCCCCAGTGGGGTGGGACGCTGCCCCCAGGCTTGGTGATTTCTCGGCTCACTGAGAATACAAAGGGGATCGGGACAGCTGAGCGGCTGGAAGGCTGGGAGCAGGGGAGGGCTGCAAGGACCGCAGCAGCCGAGGCCGGGAGCTCAATGAGCCAGCCACCCACAGGCTCCCTCAGGGGCTTGCATTTCAGCCACTCGGGATGGGGTGTCTGCAGATGCTCCAGCTGGCGCATGGGCACACCCAATGCTCTGCACACCTCACTCCCCCGCCCTCGCACCCCTGGGCAGCGCCATGGATGTGCTCCAGAAGTCGTGCGCAAGCCTCTCCAGTGTCCTGCACACACGTGCACTCAGCTAGCTCAACTCAGCGGGACTGGAAGAAGACCTGAGCGTCTCCGGAGACGACCTCTCAGGAAAACAAACGGGGGCTCTCAGTGCCCAGCGTTTGTGAGGGATCAAAAGAAGGCATATGATCTTAGGAATTCTTGCTAA